AGAGACGAAGCAGGAGGAAGTGCGGAATGCCAATGGGGTGGGGTGAGGGGCGCTGCACCCGCTTGCACAGCGCCCCACTGGGATGAGGCTGCAAACGCAGGGCGGAGGCAGTGATTTCTGAGGCGGCAGCTGCGGCACCGTGCCGGTGGTCGCACTGTTGTTTTGCGGCCGCTTCTCCACTCGTGCCTCCGGGCGCATGGCGCAAAGTCACTGGCGTGTCTTCTGGCACCGCCCCCGCACGCGCATTGCGCCTGCAGATAAGACCTCGTGGCCTTCCAGTTGGTGGGGACGCGTTTCCCACTGCAGAGTGCCCCAATGCTGTGCGTCTTTGCATTCATCCTGCATTCCCCCTTTTTGAGTTCCGGACAGCCACGTCGTGGGCAAGACGAGGCCCAAGAGGTGCGTATTCATGCATTTTTTATTTTTGATTGCTGTGCGAGCCTGCGGTGGAGGAATGGTCTGCCGTGTGCTGTGCGACTTTGACTAATAATTAAGGGGAAAACGTCCCTAATAATTGCAGGTTTCTATAATTTTGTCGTGATGTGGCGAGTGTCACGCAGCGTAAGGCTAGAAGGGCTGGCACGTGCAGGGACTGGTGCGCTCGTCGCACGCTGCCCATGTCACTTCTCGCACCGTCTGGCAAGGCAGGGGAGGGCGGCGGCTGCGCGTGTAGTCGTGCGGATCCTTCCGACGGCGAAACATCTTCGTGTCGGCGCCGGTTGAGGGCCCTCTGTGCTGCCGCTGACGAGCCCCCGAGAGGCAGGCTGACTCGAGTTTCTCTGGGCGGTTCTGCGAGCGCGGAAAGTGCCTTGCGGGCCTCCCCTCGTCGTCAGCACAGAAGGAAGTGTAGATGGTGTGGCCTCGACTTGTTCTTTCCCTCCATTGGCTAATGCAGAAATAGATAAACGCCTACGACACATTCCTCTGTGGTCGGAACGGCAAAAGGACGAAGTGAGCACTATGTTTGTTTTCCCCTTTTCACCTTTCTTTAGGGGAAGGGTAAGGCATAGACTATTCTTGCGTAGTTTTGTGCTTTGCGTGGCGGGTTACCTAACATATTCGTAGTGCGGTTGGCAGGGAACGCGTTTTTTTTCTTTTTTTTGTAAAGGGGTTTTCTTTTGGGTGTCGTTGTTCTGCCTGCCTCTGCGTCTCATGTCGTTTAGGGTCGATGCCGCGTTGCATGCACCCACAGAAGGAGAGGAGGTGGGCGGTTGTAATGCTTTGCAAGGGGGCACTTCTGGAGATGCGACGGAGGACCGCGCCGCGTTCCGCACGTTGCCAGCCAGTGGGAGGAGACGGGTGAACATTCCGCGGCCTACGCCCCACGCGGATGGTGCGGGTGCGTCAGCCCACGAAGCGGCTGCAGCAGGAAAGAAGGCGGAGGAAACGGCCGCGGGCCCATCTCCCCTGCCCAATGGGGCTCCGCGTGGGATTGCGTTGGCGGAGAAGGCGCACTTTGATCAGTCCCGCGTGAACGCTGCCCCAAGGTGTGGTGAGTCAACGGCAGGCGAAGTGCTGGGCCGCCGGATATGTGCTGAACCCTCCTCTTCTGCTCGGCCCGTAAAAGCCGACTCCGCCGCCGGAGTCCACCGAAACCCAGTGGATGCGCTGCAGCTTCAGGGTGTGCGAGAGCAGCTGCTGTGGCTGAACGTCACGGGGAGGGACGACTTGCTGTCTCGATACCTCGTCAACGGCCCTGCAATCGCCAGTCACGAGGGACACGGTGTCACTGAAGCCCATTGCGGGGGCGGCAAGCCACACCACGTGGATCCCGAGGGGCAAAGCGCGTCGTTGCACGGAGCCCGACAGTTTGACGCGAGGGCGCGCTTTACCAACAAACAGATTTTTCGGAGGAAACTTGTTCTGCTGGGTTATCAGGAGGTTGGCAAGACGTCTTTGCGGAAGTGCTTCGAGTCGGAGCCGTTCTTATTGAAGCGACTGCCGGAGGTGAGGACGACGACGGGGGTGGAGGTTTGCAGCCAAAATATTCGTGTTGCTGGGGATTGGGTTCAGCTCATCATCTCGGATTTTGCGGGGCAGGAGTCGTACCACTCACACACGCTCTTTCTTACGGATCGATCCATATTTCTTCTCGTGTGGAAGATATCGTCCGTCGAGCAGGACTTTCAGGGCTCTGGCATCTGCGTGCACGAGGAGGAGCGGCTGTACAGGTGGATCGCGGAGGTCTACGCCAAGTTTCCGCGGGCGAAGATTGCGCTGGTCGCCACCCACCTGGATGAGCTCCGGGTGCAGGGGCAGCGCAGCGTGGAGCGGATCCTGTCAAAGGTGGCGGGGAAAGTCGTAAGCTTCATGCAGCACATAGCCGCCACAGACCCAAATACGGGCGCCGCCGTCACCAATGAAATTGTGGGCAGCTTTGCTGTGTCGTGTAAGACGCGCCAAGTAATCGCGGCCGGGGAACTACGGCATTTGTCCGGTCAGAGTCTGAGCGCCCTGCTGCGGTTCTTCGCGGAGGTGGCACACCGGGAATGTGTGGAGGACAAGGAGTTTCCCGCCGCCGCCATTCCCGGGCGCGAGTTGACACTTCTAGAGGCGGTGACGAGCGAAGAAAAACGGTCCCCGCATAAGTTGCTGCTCCCCCTGGGAGAGTTTATTCATTCCGCGGTGCAGTTGGGTGTGAAGTCGGGCGAGGAGGCGCTGCAAGTCGCCCGACTTATGCACAGCTGGAATATTATTTACCTCTTTAACTCGTACTGTTTGTCGGACAACACCTTCATCATGCTGCGTCCTCTTTGGCTGAGTCGCCTTGCCGCCGCGCTGTTTTCCTACGCCCACGTCCTTCGCACCCCGCTGCACCTGCGCAGCATATTTGGGCGTCTCGAGTACACCGTCAGCGTTGCCGAGGCGGCCGATATGCACCTCCTGAGGAAAGGGTTTCTTCGCTGGCCGTTGGCCCGGGTTTTGTTCCGGACCCCGCTGCGTGACATTTTGGAGCACGAGCCTGATGAATTGGACTACACCTTAGCCGTGCGCTTCCTCGTCTCCCTGGGCCTCGTCGTTCCCGTCGTCGTCCCGTGCGATGAGTTTGCGCTGCTGCAGGAGGAGACGCCGGCTGACCTCGAGGTAGGGCAGCCGCTCGTTCGCGAGGCGGCGCTCACGCGCTACTTCGTGCCCAGCCTCTCCCCGTTCGTCGCCCCAGTGAGCCTGCGGCGGCTCGCACCGGTGCTGTTCAACCGCGGGACGCAACTCAAGTTCGAGTTCAACCTCCTCCCGGACGAGGCCTGGTGGCGCTTCCAGGCCCAACTGCAGGGACGCCAGAAGATCATCGTCCTGCACGAGCCGCGCGGCGCCCTCACCGGCGACGAGGACGAGGACGTCTGGGACGACTACCGACTGCTCGAGGCGGACGAGGAGCACAACCGATGGCGGGACGCCATGTGGCTCGCCGGTGACTGCTGCCGGGTCTTTTTGTATCGTGAGGGGCTTCAAGTGATACACGTTTTTTCCACGGCGACGAGGCCGCACGGCGCGGAGGCGCTGCTGGAGGAGGTCGAGGGCGTCATGTCGAGGTTGCTGCTGGAGTACCGTGGCCTGCAGCGGACGGTGTGCGTGGCATGCCCGGGGCCAGACTGTGACGGCTGGCTGCCGTCAGATGAGGTGCTGATGGGGGCCCGGGTCACATGCCGGACATGCAGGCAGACGATCAACAGCAACGACGTGGTGGCCGCCGACGTTGGGCCACGGCGATCGCACGGCTTCAGCGACGCGCTGCTGCGGGAGGCCGGAGAGCTGCTTTGCCTCTCCCTGAGTCCCAGCTACCGTGCACGGCTCTGCGAGCACCTTTGCGTGGACCGCGCAGGCGTCCTTGGCGCCCTCCCCACCGACAGCAACGGCGGCGACGTGGAGGGCGAGGGGGCGGCGGCGGGACACGCGCCGGATTGCATGTACGCGCTCGACAAGGTCGTTCGTGCGGCCATGCTGCGCTCGCTACGCGAGCGCGTCGAGGAGGAGGCACGCAGGCGCCGGATGCTGGAGCCCGCGGCGCCCACCCTGCGAGTATCGTTTCCCTCGAAGTGATGCTTCACGGTTTTTTTTTTACTTTTATTATTTTATTCTTCTGCTTCTCTGCACGGACAGTCGTGCGGGTGGCGGCGAGCGGAATTGCCGGGACAATGCGGAGGAGGATGGGGGGCATTTATCCCACCGCTGGCAGAGGGCCATAGGGGGCCACACACACACACACACACACACACACACACAACAAA